CTAAAGAATGTAATTAGAGACACAGAAGGACACTATATCATTCTTAAAGGGTCTATCCAACAAGAAGATCTAACAATTGTAAATATCTACGCCCCCAACCTGGGAGCAGCCATCTACGTAAGCCAACTGTTAACCAAAATAGAGAGTCATATTGATAACAATACGTTAATTGTAGGAGACCTCAATAGTCCACTCTCAGCAACAGACAGATCATCTAAGCAGAAAATCAACAAAGAAACAAGAGCTTTGAATGACACACTGGACCAGATGGACCTCATAGATATATACAGAACATTCCACCCTAAAACAACAGAATACCCATTCTTCTCGAGCGCACATGGAACTTTCTCCAGAATAGATCACATACTGGATCACAAATCAGGTCTCAACCGATACCAAAAGATTGAGATTATTCCCTGCATATTCTCTGCATAGCAATCTTTTGTTGAATTTGATCCTGCAGAGCCATGATATCTTCATCACAGGCCAGCCAGACAGTTAACACCTTCAGAGTCACACTGCCCAATGGTGGCTCCTGATTTTGTAACTGAGATTCCTCCACAGCTATCTTTAAATGATGCTGTATTCCCACTTCATGAAAAGAACTAGAGGATTTATCAAAATTATTAACAGCCCACAGTGAAATATCACTAGCCACCCACTGAAAAGGTCAAAATGAAAAAGCGTGAAAACACCAAATGTTGGCATAGTTTGGAGTAACCACAACATTCAAACATTGCTAGTAGGAGTATAAAATGGTATAACTGCTTCGGAAAACTGGCAGTTCCACAAAAAGTCAAATATCTATGACCCAAAAATTCCAGTCTTGCTTGTATTTCCAAGGGGAATGAAAACATCTGTCCACTAAAAGCCTTGTACGCAAACATTCTTAGCAGCTTTATTCATAATAGACAAAAACTAGAAATAGCCCAGGTGTCTATTAAAAGAAGAATGGATAAACAAATTGTGATATATTCAAACAGTAGAATACTACTGAGCAATACAGAGGAACAAACTATTGATACACCCAATGTTATGATGAGCAAAATAAGCCTTACCCAGATGAGAGCATACTATACAACCCCACTGACTAAAGTTCTAAAATAGGCAAAATTAATCCATGGTGATAGAAATCAGATTAACAGCTACTTCTTGCAAGGAAGAACTGAGAAGGGACATAACAGAACTTTCTAGGATGATGGAAATGTTCTATATCTAGTTGCAGGTTACATGAGTATAGGCATTTGTCAAAACTGACAAAGCTATATGCTTAATGATCTCTGCATTATATTACTGTATGTAATTTATACCTCAAAGTAAAAAATTCCTTAGGAAAAAATAAATAAATAAAGTCCATTCAGGCATGAATTGCAGTCTTGACAGAAAACATTGAGAGCTTGTGGAATCTTAAAACACAATGAATAATAAAGCTCTTATTAAGCTTAAGGTCTGTGCCTAAAACACTGCTGAAATATTTTGTTTTGCTTTTTGTAAATAAAAGCATATTAGAAATATTATACAGATTATTTCTCTGTAAAGGAATTATTATGGTGAATCCTTTCATACCAAAATGATGTTTGCCAAAAACAGATTCAAGAACAAAAAGAAAATGTCTTTATTTTCTACTGGAGAAATTTTCAATCGCATCATACCTTGTGAGTTTTTGAGACTGGTACTTTATCTTGTTTTAAACTTTTCATTTCATTAGCAGCATGCGAATTTCCTTTCAATCTCTGTATTGTCATAAACTCATACTTCCTCTGCAACAGTACATATCCATGAATTAAAATACAATTCTATTAAAGGTGGGAAAATCCAAAGGCAATCACTTAAAATTCACTTGTGTCAGGGCACCTGGGTGGCTCAGTCATTAAGCATCTGCCTTTGGCTCAGGTCATGATCCCAGGGTCCTGGGATCCAGTCCTATGTTGGGCTCCCTGCTCAGCGGGAGGCCTGCTTCTCCCTCTCCCACTCCCTCTGCTTGTGTTCCCTCTCTCGTGTTCTCTCTGTCAAATAAATAAATAAAATCTTTAAAAAAAAAAAAAATCCCTTGTGTCAAAAGAGCAGGCAACTTACCTGTAAATTATCTAAACGAGCTTGAACTCTCTTAGCCTGAATCTCCATCTTCTTGTTTTCTTCACTTACTTCATTTAACTAAAGTGAGAAAACATTAAATATTTCAATATAAAACTTAAGCTGATTTCATACTAAAGATTTTGTAAAGATATTATCTAGTCTGTATAACCAAACAATGTAACAAAACAGAGGTAGCATTCGTAATTAAAGATCACCGCTTATGGTAATTAGACTTATCATGGAAATCATTTTGAAATGTATAAAAATAGTGAATCACTATGATATATACCTGAAACTAATAGGATATTGTATGTCAATTATACTTCAATAAAAAAATAAAAATTTTAATTAAAAAAAAAATCAGAGCTAAAATCATTTGTCCCTAAAGTACTAATAGTATCTAAGTTTACTTCATTCTATAAAAAATTTGCAAGTCTCCTGAGATCTTACAAGTATATGTTTTAATGGGAAATGTCTTTTAATCAAACTTTTTATGTATGTACATGAAAGTGTACAAATCATTAAGTATGCAGTGTAATGAATTATTGAAATTGGATTAAATGTATAAATTTGGGAAGAACTGACATGTTTATAAATATTGAGTCTTCATATCTATGAACATAACATAGCCTTCAAATTATTTAGATCTATTTATTTTCTTTTAATAATGTTCTGTACTTTCCAGTGTATGTGTTATATACATCTTTCTTTTATATTTATTCCTGGATAGCTAATGCTTTTTGATGCTATTATCTGTGGGATCTTTCAATAAATAACACTATTTGATTACAGCTGGTATATAAAAATACAACTGATTTTTGTATATTGAACTTACATCCAAGGATTTGCCTATATTTGCTTTATTCTACTAACTTGTCTGTATATCCATTTGGATACCTGTATATACAGTTACATAATCATGTTATCAGTAGATAATTCTTATTTCTTCCTTTCCAATCCTTATTTTCTATTTTTTTTTTCCCTATTGCACTGACTAGGACTCTCAGTACAGTGTTCAATAGAAACAGTTAAGAGTGAGCACCCTTCTTCTGATTTCAGAGGGAAAACAATAACTTAAATATGATTTTGTTGTTGGGTTATTTTTGTAGATACCTTATCAAAATTAAGTTCTCTTTTATTACTAATATCATGAGTTAGTGCTGAATTTTATTATCAACAGAAATATGATTTTTCTCCATTTATCAGATGTGTTAATTTTCAAATGATAAACCGTAATTTTCAAATGATAAACCATAACTTCCAAATGATAAACTTTGTAATTCCTGTACTAAATCCATTTAGCTGTATTATTTTTATGTATTGCTAGATTCAATTTGCTAATATTTAAATTTCTTGCAACTATATCCATAAAACTGATTTGAATTTTTCTTTTCTTATAACAATCTTGACACATTTAGTTTCAAGGTTATGCAGGCCTCATACAACAAAAAGGAGGGTTTTTCTCTCTTTTTCTATTTATATTTAAGGTATATGATGTTTCCTCCTTAAAAGATAGTCGTAAGTCTTACTGCTCCTTCTCTGAAAGTAAAGTGTCTTATTTTTCTCTGATCACTTTAAAAATTTTATCTTTATCTAATGTTTTCAGCAGTCTTAAAACAATGTTCCTATGTTTGCTTTTTCTCAACATTTATCCTGTTTAGGCTTAACATAGTTTCTTGAATCTATAAGTTGGCATACTGTTTTTACAAGTTTTGGATAATATGTGGCCATTTCTCTTCAAATATTTTGTTTTTGCTGTATGATCTCTTTTTGAACTCCCATGTTAGAAATTTTAACGAAACGTATCTCTTTTATAAATTTGTTTATTCTTTCTCTACTCAATGTTTTTATTTCAAAACTTTTTAGGAAATCATCTTCCAGTTCATTAATCCTGTCTTCTGCTGCATCTCATCTGCTATTAAATCCATTCACTGGAGTTCTGAAATTCAATTAGTGTATTTTTAGGTTTCAGAATTTCATTTTAATTCCTTTTAATAAATTATGCTTCTCTAATGAAGTTCTCAATCTTTTTTTCTACTTTTTTGAACACATTAATCATTATTTTAAAATCACTACCTACTAGCTCCAATATCTGGACCACAGCCAGGTATATTCACATTGCCTGGGGCATTTTTGTTCTCTTCATATTGAGTTATATGATTCTGTCTTTTTATAATCTTTATTTAAATTCTAGTTAATTAACATACAGTGCAATATTGGTTTCATGAGTAGAATTCAGTGATTCATGTGATTCTGTCTTTTAATATAATGATTAATTTTGTATAGAATGACAAAGAAAATATATAAATTTTGTACACATTTTCTTTCAGAGAGGGCTCATTCTTTCCTTTGCTAGATACTCAAAATGGGAACTGATAGCCTTATTCTAAACAGGAACTACATCAGTTAAGACCACATTTCAGCTTGAGGAGGATTTCATATATCTCTAATTTGCCTCCTCCTCGGGTGCAACCCTGATTCTTTCAAATGAGAGCCTATGGTATTCACAGGGACTCTCTAGCCTGATGAATCCTGAATATTAATCCTTGACTCCTCAGCTTGGCAAGACTTAATGGGAATTGTTTTTTTATTATCATAATAATATTGCAAACTTATTTATATAAGTCCAATGCTATCATAAATTACCATACAAGTCAGTCACAGAAATAAGTTACCTTTTTATTTAGCAATTTTGAAACACAGTTGAGCTTTGAACCATGCAGGGGTGATGGTCACCAACCCCTGGGCAATAAAAAATCCACAAAGAACTTTTGACTCCCCAAAACACTTTACTAGTAGCTTACTGTTGACAAGGAGCTTTAATGATAATATAAACAGCCAATTAACACATATTTTTTAATTATATATGTATGATACACAATGTTCTTATAATAAAGTAGGCTAGAGAAAACAAAATGTTATTAGGAAAATCATAAGGACAGACATTCCAAGATGGTGGAGGAATAGGAGACTAGTTTTGTCTGGTCCCAGGAATTTAGCTAGAGAGCTATCAAATCATTCTGAACTCCTGTGAACTGAACCAGAGCTCTAAGAAAAGAATTGCTGCAATTCTACAAATAGAAAAGCAAGCACTTTCTGCAAGGTAGGAGGTGTGGAGAAGTGAATCCTAAGCAACATATTGGAAGATAAACCGCGAGAGTAGGGAGCTGCAGAAAGCCGGCAACCAGAAAGTAATATAGTAGTAGAGCGAAAAATCAGAACTTCTAGAAGTCTGCTCTGGTATATGTCCCTGCCTGAAAGGTACTCAGGTGGCCAAACAGGGAAGAATCCTAGGTGGGACAGTGTGCTCTCAGGATCCCAGGGGTCACAGAAAGAACAGGGATACCTGAGTGCGTGACAGTTCCCAGGCATCAGAGCAGGAAAGCCGGCTGCCATCAGCAAGCCCAGAAGTGGGCTTTCAGAACAGTGTTGCCATAAAACACAAACCGCAGAAGGGTTGGGCAACCACTCTCTGAGCAGGGAACCAGCAAATGGGAGAACCGCAGTAAGACAACCCTCCCTCCTGGGGAAGAATGGCGTGGGTGCACGCCACAGGAGTCTGCAGGCTTTGGAGACTCCAAGCGGGGTCACATGACTGAATAGAAATGCTCAGTCATGGGCTAGGTGAGCACAGAGTGCAGATGGAGACCAGGGACACAGGAATGATTGATTGCTTTTCCCCAAGGGCACACTGAGGAGTGGGGGGTGGTCGGGCACGAGCTTTTAGCTCCAGGGCTGGAGATTGGGAGGCGCCATTTCCATTCTCAATCTCTAAAGCCGCGTGTAAAGCCTTCAGGGAACAAAAGCCATATAGAGCAATCTGGGGCCAATTACATAGCCTGACCCCTGGCTTGGGGCAGTGCAGTTCCTCCTGGGGCAAAGACACCTGAGAATCAGTGCAACAGGCCCCTTCCCAAGAAGATCAGCAAGAACATCCAACTAAGACCAACTTTACCAACCACAAAGAACTGCAAAACTCCAGCACTAGAGGAAAACAGTATATAGAATTCATGTTTTCTTTTCTCATGATTAGTCTTCCAAATTTACTATTTCTTTTCTCTTTCATTTTCACCCAATTTCTTATTTTGTCAACTTTTTTAAAGTTTTTTTAAATTTTCATTTTTACAGTTATATTCTATCCTTTCATTGTATTTAATTTTATTTTTGTATATACATAAGTTTTCCTTTTTTTACAATTTTGGGATCTAGTTTTTATTTTTTTTTTAAAGATTTTACTTATTTATTTGTCAGAGAGGGAGAGAGATGGAAAGAAGCTGAGAAAGAGCACAAGCAGGGGGAGCAGCAAGCAGAGGAGAAGCAGGGTCCTTGCTGAACAAGGAGCCCGATGGGGAACTTGATCCCAGGACTCTGGGATCATGACCTGAGCCGAAGGCAGACGCTTAACCAAATAAGACACCCAGGTGTTCCGGGATCTAGTCTTCCAACAAACAGACCAAAATACACACAGGATCCAATGAATTGCTCTGTTCTGTTCACCTGTCTGATTATATTCTCTCTCATTTTTTTTATTTTTTCTTAAATTTTTTTGTTTTTTCGGTTCTGGGGCTCTTCTGATTTGCTTAGTGTATATTTATCTGGGGTCATTGTTGACATTTTAGTATTTTGTTCTCTCATTCATCTATTCTTCGCTGGACAGAATTACAAGACGGTAAAACTCATCTCAAAAGAACAAGAGGAAGTTCTGACTGCCAGGGACCTAATCAGTATGGCTATAAGATACTGGAACTAGAGTTCAGAATAACGATTATAAATATACTAGCTGACCTTGAAAACAGCATAGAAAACATGAGAAAATCCCTGTCAGGAGAAATAAAAGAACTAAAATCTAAACAAGTTGAAATCAAAAAGGCTATTAATGAGATGCAATAAAAAATGGAGGCTTTACGGATACCTGGGTGGCTCAGTCAGTTAGCATCTACCTTCGGCTCAGGTCATGATCCCAGGATCCTGGGATCAAGCCCCAAATTGGGTTCCTTGCTCAGCGGAGAGACTGCTTCTCCCTCTGACTGCTGTTTCCCCTGCTTGCGCTGTTGTTCTCTCTCTCTGTCTCTGACAAA